CGCCTGGCGGCCGGCTCCCCAGTACCCCGGGGGGTGGGGTGGGGGAGAAGGGTGAGGAGCGGAGGGGGAGGGAGGGGAGAGGAATTCCATACCCCTGGTCGGCCTCCTGCGGCTCGGCGGCGGAGGGGCCCCCTGCCTGCCCCGACAGGGCTACCTCGGGCTCTGCTTAGGCAGCCCACGGGGAGAGCCTACAGGCTGGGGAGGGACAGCCCGCCCCAGGCCCCTCACAGCACCCTGTCCCAGACCCCCGGGCCCTGGACCCAGACCACCCACCCTGCCACCCCCAGCTTGGTCTCCAAGGGTGAGAGAGACAGGAGGCCCAATGAGGGTGCAGGCAGCCCTTGGAGTGGGCCTGGCTCTGTCCTTGCTGAAGTCTGAGGCCTAGAGAGAAGGGTGCTCACCGGCTGGGTCCCCACTGCCCGCAGGGGCTCACCCAGAACTCACCTTACCTCCTCTTCTGTGGGGTCGCACAGCCTTCGTCCTGACCTAACCCAGGTCTTCTCTTGGGGATGCTGGGATGTGGCCTCCAAAAAGGGGGTCTGCAGGGTGGAGCCCCCCTTTGCTAAGCCCCTGTAAGGCAGCTGACTGTGCCCCCCAGGACCTCCTTTTTTAAAAAAAATATTTTTATTGATTTCAGAGAGGAAGGGAGAGGGAGAGAGAGATAGAAACATTAACAATGAGAGAGAATCATTGATCGGTTGCCTCCTGCACTGGGGATGGAGCCCAAAACCCAAACATGTGCCCTAACCAGGAATCCAACCGTGACCTCCTGGTTTATAGGTCGATGCTCAACCACTGAGCTACTCCGGCTGGACGAGTATTTGTTATTTGATTTGAGAGAGAGAGAGAGAGAGAGAGAGAGAGAGAGAGAGAGGCAGAGAGAGGCAGAGAGAGGCAGAGAGAGACATCAATCCATCACCTCCTGTAGGCGATCGAACCCTAGGTAAGTGCCCTGACCAGGAATGAACCTGCAACCATCTGAGCCACTGGCAGGGCCCCAGGACCTCCTTGTTCAGGCAGGGCCTGAGCAGGCCCCTTCCCTCCACCAAATGTGCCCCAGAGGCTCAGGGTGGCTCAGCCCAGCTCTCCGCACTAAGGGACCTGGTCTCTCTCTGCTCTCCCAACCCCCTCCCAAGACAAGGCTCCCACAGTTCTTTGAGCATCACAGTTGCCTCCCACTCCAAACCCTTGCAGGGGCCGTTTTTCCTCCCTCCTCCTCTCTGCCCAGCTAAAAGGCTCCCCAGCTAAGTTGTCACCTCTCCTAGGCTTGTTGTCCTTATTGGCAGGGCCACAGCCCCAGAGCCACCTGCAAGGAGGTTGGGGGTAGGGGCTGTGCTGCACTAGACAGTTTTGGATGTCACTACCTGGCCAGTAAGCCAGCAAGGTATCTAGTTAGCAACCTCCACTGGCTGCTCTGAGTGTGGGTATCTGTTGGTGTGGCAGTATGTGTATGTGTGTGGGTGTGTTTGCTTATATCTGTGACTGTATGTTTGTGTTTGAGTGAGTCTCTTGTGATGTGTGTATTATTTAATATTTTTATTTTTTAATATATTTTTATTTTTATTGATTTCAGAGAGGAAGGGAGAGGGAGAGAAAGAGAGAGAGAAACATCAATGGTGAGAGAGAATCATTGATCAGCTGCTTCCTGCATGCCCCCTCCTGGGGCTTGAGCCCGCAACCTAGGCATGTGCCCTTGACTGGAATCGACCCGGGACCTTCAGTCCACAGGCCGATGCTCTATCCACTGAGCCAAACCAGCTAGGGCTGTGTGTGAGTGTTTCTATTTGTCTGTCTGTGAGTGTGTAACAACTGTGTGATGGGGGCTGGCAGGTCTTCCTCTCAGTTCAGCGGTTGAACAGAGCCTGGGAGGATGGAAGTGTGGCTGTTTGTGAGTGTATGGGGAAGAGGTGCAAGGTCTGGCCCCTCAAATGCAACCTGCCT